TGGGGGTCACAAAAGTTTTTGTTGGTTAGACCTTTTTTTTATATTTCCCTCCTGCAAAATTTTCCACTAATTGAAATTTCCTTAAATAAACATTAACATGAATTCAACACACTGAAGTAAACAGATAAATGGAAGCAAAAGATGTCTTTCAGTCATCAATGCACACATTCAGTGACACACAGGAGCTCGTTCAAGCTGGGCACCGTTTCATTCACAACACCTGTCCCATCAACCAGGAATCAGAATCAGAAATACTTTAATAATCCCAGGGCAAAATTACTTTTGTTACATTACTCCATAAGTAATAGACCAGTTTGATATAACACAATTTCATACAATGTATATAATTAGGGGGTCCCCGCTCCATCTCACCATTAGTTTGGGGATCCTTGGCCTGGAAAACGTTGAAGAACTCCCTTATACAGAGTTGGCATACCCCCACCATGTGCTGCAGAGATAGACTGTAAAAGCTTTATTTACATTCACTTTACTTTTTTCTCAGAATGTGCAGAGAAAAAGGCTGCATAAAACACAGCTTAATAAAGCAATATCTTCTCTGCAGTATTTGAGATGATGAGTGCACAGAGTCTGCATAATTTCATTGATTTGAAGAATATAATTGTATTTTTTTTGCCATCAATAAAAGTTTACTTTATAGTTTTCTTTTCTACAGTAACACATTCTTCAATGCTATTATCTGCATATAAAAACACGGCAATGATAAATGGTACAAAAACAACTTATAGGACATCAAATAAGTTTTTATATTTTACAAATTAATGGCTGAAACTGAACTTGCAGATACTACTTAAGAGATTTATTCAACATGGATGACATCATTATTTTTCTTGAAGCTAAACTTGAGCAAAATGGTGTCATTAGATAATAACTTGAATAGGCTACAGCCTTTTTGTAAATTTAAAGTCATATTCACTAGAAAATGTAAATAAATAAACTGTTTATACCTTGGCCTGATAGAGTGAATGCTTTTTGAAAATTGTTTGCACTTCACATCCGAGCTAATTGGTCTCTTTCCTGATCAGATGTTTGTTGTCATCAGGTGTTTGGAATAATCATGCATCAATTACACGATGAACACTATGTTATTAAGTCTCCTTTTGGCAGATAAAGACTACTTTCAAGCTGTTTCTCTGTCTTCTGGTTCTGTTTATGTTGCTTAAACCAATGCAAGCAAATGATAGCTCCCTCAGACTTAACTCTCAGCTCTCCTCACAGAGCTGTAGCCGCGTGAAAGCAGGGTGAGACAGCTGTGGGTGACACAACAAACAATAAAGCGTGCTGTGAAATCTCCAGGTATTGAGCTCAAATGAAAATAAAGTGTCTGCTATGTTTATCTCAGCTTCTCAGCACCGTGGTAACCAGCAACCTTTTTTTTTATGTCTATTTCCTGGCGGTACACTGCTGATATTGTTCTGCTGTTTCTCCATTGATTCTTTCTTTAATATCATCTGTTGTTCTTTGACCTTTGGGTTTTAAACCTTTCAATTTTTTCTTCTGTGATATTGGTTTAATTTTCTCCTCTGAAATATGACCACACTGACTCTTTTTCTTCCGCCCTTCATTTCCTGAGACCTTTCTACCCTTGTCTCCCATGATTACATGAAAGGATGGCTTCTTTTTTGTTACTTCAAGTCATTTCAGCAGCTCATGAAAAAATAGGACTCGCAGCCCGGATGTAAAGTCAACTGAGGAGGTTATTTGGAAATCTCATGAATGTCAATGCTTCCCTGGAAATATCTGAATGATCTTATGTACTTTATACACAGAATGGGAGGATTTTAGACTGATTTAAGTACCACAGCTCTGTCAAATATGAGCATAAGATACTGAAAGCAAGAAATAAGGATGTCATGATCTGTAGGACTTTAAATCTGTTTTTTATCTGAGATCTAGTTCTTGTACTTCTTGTGATATAATGTATCCCTTTGTTTTGGAATTAAGCTCTATATTTCAAATACTTCTCAACATCCATTTTGCTTAATTTGTTTCCCCTTGTTTATTCGAAACACTTAATTTTCAAGTATAGTTATAGTTCCTATCCATCAATGCCTGAGCTTCCTGCTCTCCTTACAGCTGTTTCAGATCAGTATAATCTGATTCCTCTGATCCGTGCCCCAGTGATCACCCTCCTCTACACTAATACTCTTAGCTTCTATTCATTCTCTGTCCAATCCTACTTCTTCATGTGTCACCATTTAGTTTTTCTGCATGCTCCCTTCCCTTATTGTTGTTTGGTGATCTTTCCAAGTAGCAGCACCAGAGAATTATGTGTTTGAGGGCAAACAACGGTCATATGTTTTTATAATGGCGTCCAGTAAATTTGTTGCAGTAGTATAAACTCTTCCAAGGCTATATTGGCTTAAAGGGACATTGTGTAACAATTTCTCTTTTTTATTGCCTTAACCTGATGACTGCATGCACTTATTGGTGCATTATCACCATTATGAATACACTGAAAAAAAATATGCAACCATTTCATGTGTAGCTAGTTTAAAGCAATTGTTTTATGTCCTACCCTTCTAACATTAAAACATTGTGCTAAAGTAACTTTATATGATTAGTTAAATGCCAAAAATGGTAAATTTTCTTAAGTGAATGATTTTATATTGGTTTAAACATAAGGATGGTCACCCATTTGAGAAGATCCATGACAGTCAGCCATCTTGAGAGTACAGATGCCAGTGAGGGATAAAATAGTATCAATGCAAGGAATAGCAAAGTTTTTCTCTTTGCTGGCAGTTCAGTGAGATTGAGAGGCCGTGGTGAAGATTATTTGGACACGCTAACCCAGCAACTGGGAGTCTGCTCTACTGTAGCACAATGAAGGACCATGCATATGCAGTAACAGCACAAAACATGGTTTCACCATCCCCTTAGAAAGCCTAAAAGAGAATGAAACCAGAGATGATAAAAAATAGATAATGGAGGATAAGCAATAGGCAAGGCTTCTCCAGGTGGAAGGAGGTAAAGAAGGAGAAAAATTATAAAAGGGATGTTGAGGCACTTTTCTCCTCAACAAGTAGGTGAACTGTACTGCTTAAATTAGCATGAAGCCAACACTTTCCAATTAAGTTTTTCAACACTTAAAAGTTTAATTAGGCCGTTTTGTTTGTTGCCACAGAAAGAATACCAGTAATCCTTCAAAGATATACAAACCGTGTTGGTACAGAATCATAGCTTTATGCAGGTTTAGCAGCTTTCAAAGCCACGGTGAAAACTTGCTTCGTCACAGTAAATGCCAGCTTGTAGAAGCTTCACTTCTGATAAGATTGTTACGTCTGCATCATCTTAGGTTTTTGACAGACGGTGGCTACTGTTGCCGCATTGTGTGTTTTAGGGATTGACGCACTAGGGTATAGTTTGTTTTAAGGGAATACCCCCATTTCTCCATTAGATGGCAGTAATCCTTACGCAATATACCTTTTATAGTATGAAATCTGTGTTACTAAGTGCTTGTTATAGCAGCACAGCATATTGACTGTTTTTCAACAGATATCAAAACAAGAGGCAAAAATTAAAGTGTAACAAACCACAAAAAAACAAGTAAGGATAATATAACTATTTACAGTTTGCAAATATAAATTAAAGCATCATCCTGGATCTTTTTGGGCCATCACCTTTCGTCCTGTAATCAATAATAATACTTCTGTTATATACTTAATAGTATGTAGTGCGTTGTCTTAAATAAAAAGGTATGCTTGTTTATTA